GCTAGCCTACCTAATAGGCCTGCCTATAGGACCAACCCCCAAGAAACTAAAGAAATTGAGTCTCAGGTCCAAGATTTGTTGGAGAAGGGCTGGGTTCGAAAGAGCTTAAGTCCTTGTGCTGTTCCAGTGTTGTTGGTTCCAAAAAAAGATGGCAAGTGGAGAATGTGTTGTGATAGTAGAGCCATCAACAACATCACTGTGAAATATAGACACCCCATCCCTAGGCTTGATGACATGTTAGATGAGCTTCATGGAGCCATCATATTTTCTAAAGTTGATCTTAAAAGCGGATACAATCAAATTAGAATCAAAGAAGGAGATGAATGGAAAACCGCTTTCAAGACCAAGTTTGGATTATATGAGTGGTTAGTGATGCCTTTTGGGCTCACCAATGCTCCTAGTACATTCATGCGTCTCATGAATCATGTCCTTAGGGATTGTATAGGTAGATTTGTAGTAGTTTATTTTGATGATATTCTCATATATAGTAGGAGCCTAAGTGATCACATAGGACACTTAAGGCAAGTTTTTGATATTCTTAGGAAAAATCAACTTTTTGGAAACTTAGAAAAATGTACCTTTTGTGTAGATAGTGTAGTTTTTCTAGGGTTTATAATTAGCAAAAAAGGGGTTCATGTGGATCCCGTGAAAATCAAGGCCATCAAAGAATGGCCCACTCCTAAGAGTGTTGGAGATATTAGGAGCTTCCATGGTTTGGCAAGCTTCTATAGGAGGTTTGTTCCTAATTTCTCCACACTAGCCTCCCCATTAAATGACTTAGTTAAGAAAAATGTAGAATTCATATGGGGAGAAAAACAAGAAAATGCCTTTTCAACTTAAAAGCATAAGCTTACTCATGCACCATTTCTAGCTCTACCTAATTTCTCAAAAACTTTTGAGTTAGAATGTGATGCTTCTGGAGTTGGCATAGGGGCAGTTTTGTTACAGGGTGGGCACCCCATTGCATATTTCAGTGAAAAACTTAAGGGTGTCTCTCTTAACTACCCTACCTATGACAAAAAGCTCTATGCTTTGGTTAGGACCCTTCAAACTTGGGAACACTACCTTATTCCCAAAGAGTTTGTCATTCATAGTGACCATGAGTCACTTAAATATTTGAGGGGCCAAGGCAAACTAAACAAAAGGCATGCTAAGTGGGTAGAGTTCTTAGAACAATTTCCATATGTGATTAAATACAAGAAAGGGAAAAATAATGTTGTGGCTGGTGGCCTTTCTAAGAGGCACACTTTTTATATCTCGGATATCTCTAGAAATTTAAGATTATCCAACATTCCTGACACAAATAAGAAAGAACGCATATACGCTATTGGCTTCCTTTCCATAACCTCGAATTCTACTCGTCTTTTTTTGGTGGTGATTGTGAATTCTTTTATAAAAAGCCTAGATAACTTTAGTATGGAGGTTTTCTTCTCACATATTGGTATATGGAGACAAATTGTTGTGAGATGCATAAAGGGGTTTACTTTTGCTCCTCATTGGAAGCTTGGTTTGGCACATAAAGGAAACCTTTATTTCATGGGCACAAAGAGTGTTTTTGTGATTGATCATCGTTTTGTGGTTAGTTATACAATTGATTATCCTGAAGATGTTGCTGCTATGAATATAGTGAGATCTGGATACTTGGGATGCTCTGGTGGGACTTTGAAGATTGCAGATATTAACAATGATAATTTTAGAGTGTGGGAACTGATACAGATAGAGAATGACACCACCCCAAAAATCTTTTACCGAACATGGAAATTGGTGCATAAGACCAATCTTTCCACACACCTCCCGACTAAGTTTTGTGCCAATTACTTCAAGCGTGTAGGGGGATTTCATCCCTATGATGGAGACATTGTGTATTTGCATTCCTATGCTGATGGGGTTTTTGTTGCCAACCTAAGGACTAACAAATTTGAGCACATTCCTGGTCATGAAAACCTTGATATTAGTCCCTTCCAACTAGAGCTCCCACTCTTACCTCTGATTCCATCTGCAGACAATTGATGTTATTCTATAAGTAATTGAAAACCCCTACCTCAATTTGATGCTTAGCAGTTGTTTGAACCTATTTTGATGTTTTAAACACGTTATTGTACTTTTTTAGAGACAAATGACTTATGTTATTATTGTTTTTCTTGCAGGGAAGACTTGGAAAAACCCAAGCCTTATTGTTAAATCTTGATGATTTTGAGGAAACATTTTCTTCCCAACCCAATTGTCACTTTCCAAACTTGTCCTGTGGTTTTTTTCACCTTTTCCTAATTACTATTTTTTTTTAGTTTTTGTAGACATTTGTGTTTTTTTAGGTTTTTGTAGTTTTAAAAATCTATTTTACACCACAAGTTTCCATGTGTCCTAGAGAAAAACTTTCTTTGATTTGTTTGACTCTTCACCTATTGAAATTAAACCTCTTGCATTTTCATATAATTTTCTATCTAACATCTTTTTCACTTCGCTAACAACCTATGCATTCAATATTGAAGTCAATTACTATGTTGAAAAGTCAAAATACACTGCACATGAAATCCTAAATAATAGATTTCATATCATACATCATAATGGATCATTTTGAACAATGTATGGATGATCTTTAGGAACATTGGATTCAAGAGTTCAATGAACTGTTTAGGCTTGTTCAACAAAGACTCAAGTTCTTCCATAAACAATAAGTTGTTGATGAAAAAAGGTGGAGGAGAAAGATGATGATGAAGCTGAAAATGATAAGAAAAAGTGATACAAAAATCAAGAGGATGATATTAGATCACAACAAAAATGGATAGTCGAAGAGAAAAAAAAAAGAAGAAATAAAGGTGCAAAAAAAAGAAGACCAAATGAAAAATATTGTGTTTACAAATTTTTATTTTAGATTGTGTAATTTTGATTGCTTTTATCTTATCTTTTTGAACTTCTTATTTTAGATTGTGTAATTTTGATTGCTTTTATCTTATCTTTTTGAACTTCTTATTTTAAATTGTATAACTTTGATTGTTTTTCATCTTATCATATTGAGCAAACCAAAACATATCACCTTGATGTGAAAACAATATATTTGAATATATAATTTCATTAATCAATTTGATTAAGCAGGTGGCCTATTATACCTACCTACTTCATTATTTTTCTTAATTATACCTTATATAATGCACTAAAAATATGCTTTGGAACAAATGTAATAACAAAGGATGTACACCCTAATGTCAAACCCAAAGGACTAAACGATTATTATAAACTTTTAGATAGTATGGCTGTTTCAATATGAAAAATAGTATGATAAAAATTGCAAAATAAGTAATGATTGGTAAGAAAAAATCAACAACAAAAAAGGCTTAAAGTTGTGATTTCTTTTACACTCTTAAATTCCTTCATATCTATTTCTAATTGAACTCTTTAATAAACATCCATTACCAATATTTTCTTACAAATTTTATTGTCAATTATTGATCATGAATTGAAATAGACCATTATATGTTAATCAAAAGCATACAAGGAGCAATCAACTTCAAATACAAATTATGAATAATAAAGCAATCTAAGTGACTAAATAAAATGATAATTTAAGTCAAATTAATCATTTAGGTTTCTAATCACAAAGTACACCATGACCTTAATAAAGAATTTAACTACTCATTACAAGAAGAGAAACTAAATTTCTATAGAAGTATGTAGAGAAAAAGGGAGATAGTAACGAGCTTCCTTTTGTCTTGCCAAATGTATCCTAATTATTCAAGAACCTTTTCTACATCAAAGATGAAAGCATAAACTATGTCTGTTATGGCTTTCTCTCACCTATTTATATTTCAACTCCCGAATCAAGACGCAAGATGCTTTACCCCAATCAATTATTGGACTAACCCAAACTCATCAAGGATTAAAAGAAACACAAATTCAGAATTTGAACAACCTTGACCAAGGTAAAAACCCATTAGATGATATTTTTTTCAAAAAATGTTATGAATCACTGTTGGATATAGCTATCAATTGGACAACATGACTCGACTCAAATTTCTTAGAGGTCATTTATTTTATGACTCGGCCTCGTTTGTTGGCCAATTGAGTTGAGCCAAATTGGGTTATTTTTCTATTTTTACTTAAATTTAACAAAGAAAAGTAAAAATAATACAAAACCAAGTAAACTTACTAGGTTGAGTCATAATTTTAGAAAATGTTCATCCATTGGTGCTACTTTGGGTTGGATCAAACCATTTTTTTACACCTCTAGTGTTGGGAAGGCATGTCCTAGAAGTGACATGTTAAGTGGACATGTCCTAGAAGTGACATGACGAGAAGCCCATCTACCACTGTTGGGGTAAATGTGGCACTTCATGAATCAAAACATGTTCCTTTGCTCATTTTCCACCCAGTATTATGCTTATGGACCTTTTTTGTGAACTTAATATTCATTTTTTCTTGCTTTATCCTCTTTGACTAGTATAAATTCCTTTTATAGTCATTTAACTACCTTCGTAAACTAACATAATCAAAACAATCATTTAAATTTTGAATGAAAAGTTGAAAAATGTAATACCATGTTACATTAGACACAATTCATACTAACTATTTACTTATTGTTGATATCAAAATAAGGCTAAATTTTTCATGATTATTAAAAGATGTTATTATCATAAAACATAAAGAACCATGATCTTCTTAAATATGAATTTAAATTCTTATGATTAACAATTATAGGTAAAATACATATTAATTATTCTCACTTATATATATCATAAAACTTATATTTACACCAAAAAAGTGCATAAATCCTAAATTATACACAAGCATATGTGAAACTATTCTTGAAACATTATATCCCACTATCAATCTTCTTGATAACTAAAATGGTGAATAATCCCAATCATTGTGTTTGATCGTTATCTTCGCTTATATCTATTGAGTACAAGCACAAAAAATAGAACAAAAAGAGTGAGAATTTAACGATCTCAACTTACGTACATACTAAGGGTAAGCATACTTACCTTTGACATTGACTTTGTTAAATACAAAGGTAACAACATTTACCTTCAAACACCCAATACTCTAAGGTTTAAACTAAAATCTGTTATAGTTGTACTTACTTGATATTGACTCGATATTGATCAATACTTTTTCCCTATGAAAAGTGACAAGAAATGTGTACATCCACCTATAAAGTGATAACAATCTTGAATACACATCAATATATCAATATCATAGGACATGTCTGTAGTCCTTTACTTGGATTTTCTCTCACTAATTTTGGAATGCTTGGTAGTTGTTGGGATTACCGAGCTTGGTTAGGTGGGGTTTCTTGTAACACCCCAATTTTTAGGACACTTATTTTTCTTTTCTTTCCAGATTTTATCTGAAAGGAATCTCAAAATTCTTATAAATACCATTATGATCTAAATTTTGAATCCTACCTAATCATAATTTTTAATAATTATTTTGAATTAGAGCTCAAAAAATTATTAAAATGACTATTTTTCCCTTATTTCTCTATATGATAAGGGATGACATGAGAAAAAGGTTTAGGAAACAATAAAATATCTTTCTTAGCTTAGACACATGTCATCTATATTAAAATATAATTTTGTAAATTTTTCTTGAATTTTTAAAATTTTTTGGAAAAAGTGATTAAAATGCCGTACTTGCGTACTAAGGCTAACTAGTATCAGTTTAGCCTTCAAACCTTATAAAAGTAGCAATGTCAAATTATCTTTAGATGAAATATACAAAAAAAATATAATTTTTGATAAAAAAAATGATTTTTTTTGTGGAATGAAAGGTTAAAAAAACCCACAAAATCAATTAAAAACCATGAGAAAACAAAGTATGAGCAATATCAACTCTTACAAATGAAGAAAAGAAAGGTCTAACATTATCAAATACACAAATATTATCCTAGGGACAATCCATAATTACCCATCTTATCAGCTACTTGATTCGCTTCATGAAACACATGAGACCAAAATAATCCTCCACCTACCAAGTTGAAAGAAGTAATGCTTTCTACCAATCGGAAACAAGGATGATAGGGAGCACATCCTTCCTTCAACAAAGTCACCGCAACACTAGAATTTGATTCTACTATAAAGTTTCTAAACTCTTTATTCCAAGCAATAGTTATACCGATATGGATTACCCATAACTGAGCTAGAGGAATTGAACAGTAGCCTATATTTGCAGAGAAAGCAAAAATAACAAGGCGAGTTAGAAAAACACCTCCTACAGCCACCTTCATTGCTTTAACTAAGGCATCACAATTTAATTTTATCAGACCAAGGGGAGGGGGTTCTCACCTTAAAAGCATGGGCTCTGCAACTATTTTATTAGCATTGATCTTATCATCAATAAGCAAGCAACATGTTTTAATAGATAGTCCAACTGCCATAATGCAAAATTGTATTTCTGCAGGCTGTGAAGCACTATCTTGAAACACAAACTCATTCCTGCATCTCCAAAATACGTCCAAGGCCACTACAAATAAGATGTTCCATCGTCTATTATTTGTGTTGGAATGTTCACTTAAATTTTCCAGGAGCCATGACGAGAAATCTTTATCAAAAAAAACCAACAGTGTTGCTGTCCAAAGAGTAACATATACCAAACAATCCTTATAGGGGGAAAATCGCATAACATGGTTTAGATCTTCAATGCAATGTCCACAACATAAACAAGAATAATCTTCTATTCAATTGTGCATATGCTAAAGAAACAGAGAATTTACCTATTGAGGTTCCCTTCCAGGATAGCACATCAAGACCTCTTAGATCGTTCGATGGAGGTATAACATGCATACAATTCAAAACATGCTCTTCCAGCACATTATTAAGAGCGGGAAAATTTCAATCACATGTTTCCATTACCAAATCTTTCACCTTAAGATGAAGTTGAGGGCTAGAAATAGTTTTTGTTGCTCGTTCAATCAGTCTTCCCAATTTTTGAATCCATTCATCATTCCAAAGCTCCACCATTTGATCATTACCAACAAGGACGGAGCCAAGGGGGACCTACGGGTGCCACGGCCC